GTTTCGGCTCAAAAGAATGTTTTCTTCACGAGATATTGAATTTCCAAAAAATCACTCATATCTCACGAAAGATGCGAGAACCTCATGTTTTTGGAAATTCAATATCTCATGAAGAAAACATTCTTTTGAGCCGAAGCTTTCAGGGCATTCTAGTTATAAGTAGGCCTATCTGTGGGCAAAATTTCAGGTCGAAATACCATCATTCGATTTGTTGGTGTATAGCGTGATATAGGCTAAAATTCCAGTAAAATGGCTATAACTCAAGAGCAAAGGCGTATTAGCCCGAACCCTCTTGGGGTTTCTTATTACTCACTAGGGTCTATCTAACGAAAATAGTCTTGATCAAAAAGCGATTTTCAAGTTGGGGGACTTCCCTCGTTAGTGGTGCAATATATAATAGATCTACAAACGAAAATTTATCACTAATCGCCTCTGACACGGAATGTCCAGAAGCATGGTAAAAAAGACTTTACGACTCGGATGCATTTTTGAAGCATTGGCATTGGTCCAGCCATCTTCTCAGTCATCAAGAAACCTTGAGACAGAAGTTTCGAATTAGAATAAGATTGGTACATCGGTGTCCCTATGTGTCAGAACAGAATTTGTTCCCCATGATATATTGAAGAACAATTCGATTTTTGCGTTAAAAGATACGTAAAAAAAACGATTAAAGCAAATGTATATGTCTAATCTAGGACGGTCTCTTTTTTATCATAATATATTTTTTTCAAACGATTTCAACAAAAGTCAAGGAGATAGACTTTGCTAATTCTTTCGGGTGAGAAGAGTGAAAAAGAATAAAAGAGAGGTATGACTCCCTGCTGCTTAAGTTGATTGATTTTCTTGACTGAATACCTCCATGTGGGTTTAGATGCTTCATCTGTTTTTGAGTTGTTTTTTCTCTTCTTCTTGTATCCTTATTCATTGTTTTCTGTTCTTTTTTTCTTTCACTCTTCATTTTTTTCTTTCGATTTTCGTTTTTTTTCACTTCAAGTGGCTCCAAGTGTCACATTGTAGCCTAGTGTCGTATCGATGCAGTTGTGCCCACATTACCTATGTTCTTCTTCTTGTAATTACAAATTACTTTTACATATTGACTATGCGAGCGCTTTCGAGCGTAACACTAAATAGAAAAATACAAAAAAAGTAACCGTCGCTAACATGAGGTTTGACACTCAAGTTGATTCCATAAATACATACAATGGTAGTCATCAAGACGTTCATAGACAATCGAAAAGGTTGATAAATTTACATTTCATTTTAATCTATCTTTAGCATTATATGATTTACGAAAAAAAAAACTGCATTCAATCAAATATTTTTATTTCTAGGAAATATGCACAAATAATATGTTTTATGTTAATTGTTATTATGAATTTAAGTGCATGGATTGATTTGGAAGGTGTATTTGCTGAATTAACAATAATGATTTCATTTATACCTGAAGGTTGGACAATACCATCAGTAGTAGGTTTATGTCTTTGTGCCGCGAATATCATGCCTGCAATAGTCACATTTTTACGTTGGTATCAAGGAAAACGATTTTCTGAGATTCCATATATTTATATCATTATTATTATTGGTATTGTTTCATGTTGTGTATTGGCTTTCTCCTGGCATAAAACTACATATTTATTTGGTCGTGAACGAAGTTTATGGTTGATTGGATGTGTTTTCGCTCTAGCTCTACTTGATAGTACATCATCTCTTGTCTTTTTTGATTATATGAAACGATTTCAGATTCGATATTTGACGGCAGTATTTTTAGGCGAAGGATTTACAGGTGTCATTCCTACACTATTGTTATTAGCACAAGGCAGTGCAGGTGAAGCAATTTGTGCACAAAGTAGTAATGGTACTACATTGGAACCTACTTTTACTCAACCACGTTTTAGTGTTACTGTTTATATGCTTCTTATTACAAGTATTATCATTGCATCACTTATTGCATTTCTTCTACTACGTTGGACAAATATAGTCATATTAGCTGATGCTGTAGAGCCGGTAATATATGTTCGAAACAATCTTTCTATAAAGAAAGTTATTTCTCAATCAAAATTAAATAAATATTACTTTCATCATTGTGAAAATTGCATCGAATTTCAACTTGAAAAAAGTGAATTTTCATCAGAAGAATCGAAATTAAGATATATGCCTCGGAGGGTTAGTCACAGAAAGGTCGAAGGGAAAAATATCGAAGCTAGAAAAGCATGGGAAAAAGTAATGTCTCCGGAGTATAAGTGTACGTGAAGAGAAGGCTTAGTCACTTCAAATTTCGATTAAGTTTATCACTGTTTGCTTGCTTAACAAAATGCCATTTGTTTAGAAAAAAAAGTAGAAAATAATTTTTTTTTTCATGCATGATTTTTCTCATGGCGCATCTCAGAATTCTCGATGGAACTTCATGGTATCTAATCATTTTTTTTATTTTGTTATATTTAGAGAGCTTGTTTGAGGCATTGAACTCATCATGATTTTCTTGCGGTAAAGAGTAAGAGTCGAAAAAAAGGGCTCTATCAAGAGACGATGGTGTTTCGAGAATTCTGAGATGCGCCATGAGAAAAATCA